TCTCTATTATATTTTTACAGTATAACATAACATGTTCTACTGTCTCCTCCAAATCACAAAATTCACAATTTCCTGTATTACATTTCCCAAATTATGTGCTGTTCAATCCAGTACGTCTTGATATTATTGTCTTCTTTTTTTGTATTTTAAAAATCATCTTCCTTTTTGTTCCTTCTCCCATAGTTTCTGCCATCACTTTTTCAACTTCTGTTTGATAAATGTTTTTAATTTCTAGTCTATTGAAATTAATTTCCATATCAATATTACAATGTTTTGTAGCTTCCTTTGCTGTTTTGTCTGCTGTTTCATTTCCAATTATCCTAGTATGTGCTGGTATCTACAAACACTATTTCAAGCCCCATTTTTTGTATGCTTTATAATGTCTGCTCTGTATCTCTAAAAGAATATCTGGTCTGCTGTCTACTGTCATGTAAACTCTGTAATGATGAACATGAATCTAAACAAATGGTTGTTTTAAGTGGTCTGATATCCTCTATTGCTAAAAGTATTGCCAGCCTGGTCTAGTCTACAGAAGACGTAAGTTTGTGGGACCAGGCTCTGCCTCGTTACCATGGTGATGTGTTTTATATCACATTGCTTCAGTTGTTTTTTCAAGGTATAACTTAATAAAATTCAGTTTTAATAGAAAACGTTACAAGTAAATAAACAAAAAGCATTAATAATTTGAGTTTAGCTTCAATATCAGTACTTGTAACTGCATTTCATTTAACGTCTCATTGAAATAAAAGTTTCATCAGCTAAGTTTAACTTACGTTTTTTGGTCCGTGATAGAATTCCAAACTTCATCATAAAAAAATAACCAATCCCACCTTAAAATATAAAAAAAACCTTGCCGTCTTTGTTTTTCTGTTTAATTTGCTGACTGATCCCGTCGGCCGCATAAGGTAGTCAGATGACTTCAGCTGCAACCCATGAATTGAGACACATCCTTGGTGTGAAAAGGAAGCTTATATGGGATAGCTAAAGTCAGGTGGGTGTGGCAGAGTGGCAGTGAGCAGAGGCTGTGGGAGGGCAGGCAGGCATGACAGGGAAATGTGACAGAGACTGACAAAAGCCTACATAAAATTACTACTGAGTTTTAGCTGCTAAATGGGTTACTACATGCCACAGGATCAGTGGCTGGAAGAATTTTTTTCGAACACTTTCAATTTTGGCATCGTTTGTTTAATAAATAATGACATATTGACCCGCTTGTGTGTTTTTGCAGGTCTGAGTTCCAGTCCTCTCAGAAAAACAGTGAAACATCAGCTGCTCTACTGCCGAGCTGGGATTGGTTTCCACCTCCAGATTTTACCAGATGGCTCTGTGGAAGGTGTACACAGACCTACTCAGTACTGTGAGTTCAGTCCAAACATAAAAACACTTCATCCTGATCCACATAAAATTAAAAATTAAGTTTTAATTTCATCAAAATAGTAGCTAAAAATTGACATTAGCAAACTGGTGGTTAAAAGCTTAATGAGCAGAAGCATAGCTCAAAGCTAAAATAAACAACACGTTTGCTAAAAGTCAAAAGAGGCAAAATTGTATCTAAAAATTAAAACAAACAAAACATTAGTTAAAAGCTAAAATTATCAAAACAGTAGCTAATCTTAAATGTAGTAAATGTAGTAAAGGACTTTTTAGTCCAAGGCTCATTGGTGCCAGAATGTAAGGACAGTGTGAGTCATGCATTTAAGCCTTGAAATTGATGATAGGCAGATAGTAAACTACCTACCAGAGGTGTCAAGTAACTAAGTAAAAATACTTTGTTACTTTACTAAAGTAGTAATTTTGGTTATTTATACTTTAGTGGAGTGATTATTTTTCAGCCTACTTTTTACTTCTACTTCTTACATTTTAATTCAATTATCTGTACTTTCTACTCCTTACTTTTTAAAAATGCAAAAAAGTATTTGATTTGATTTGATTTGATTTGATTTGATTT